TTCTCATTTATAAATCCTTCTTTCCATTCTATTTTCTAGCTGGTTATTGCCATTGAAAAAAAGTCTTGTTTTTCACATTCATAGGCTACAGAAGGCAAGAAGTATTACGTTTTAACTTTAGTACAGCTGTTCTGTAAAACCTTCTTGGCTTTTCTTTTCTTTTCCAATTTTCTTTTAAAGTTTAATCAGGTTTTGAACTTGAGCCAGTGAGCGGCATTTGTATTTTCCACCCAGCCTTCACTTAGGAGTGCTGCGCTTTTGCTTTCCAGTGCATATGGTTGTAGGCCTTCCTTTTCACTGCTCTCCTGTTGTGTCCTTGTTAGTAAGACAACTCACAATGGAGAGGACTTGTGTTTTCTTTTTGTCCTAACATACATACTCAGATTTGGAAATTGTTCCATGAATGCTTTAAAAGAGCACCTTTTTTTGGTTGTTGGGAAATAGGTGGTCTTAGTAATTCAGATCCTCTACACCTTACCCAATGTTGGATCTAACTTATGCATTGCTCTCTGGAATAGGTGTATTGAAATGCACCTAGAGGGCCCTCTCTGGTGGCTCAGTGGGTTAAAGTGCAGCATTGCAAGCAAGCTGCCGCTGCTTCAGTGTGAGTTCAGTCCCCTCAGAGCTGACCCACATAGCATGGCAGACTTCTCCTGACCTGCCCACTGCTCCCCTCAGCAGTGTACTTCATTGATCTCCCTGTTCTGCCCCCCACTCTGTCTCTGGTGAATCCTCTCACCCCCACACCTCTGGCCTGTACCCCAGTTCTGTATGCAGAAATAAATTAAAAAAAAAAAAGAAATGCACCTAGAATTGTGACTTTCTGTTTCTCCCTCATTCAAGTTGAAACTCTGTTAGCCACATAAAATTTTATGGTTTTTTTTTTTTATATCTACTCAGTGAATTGTTTTTTGATGTGTTCTTTTAATGGCTAGGATATTTTAGCTCATAAAATATTATTGTGGCTGGTTTCCTTTTGTTGTCAGTTACACAGTACCTCTCTCTTTACCCCACTTGTTTGAAACTTCTGTTCATTTTGCTTCCTTTATGCCTTGTGTTAGGAAATTACAGCTGCACTGTGGCTGCCTGTGTTCCTTACCTCACCTTTGCTTATGCTGTCCCCTGCCTTCTGACACTGATGCATCTGCCTGAACTTCCATCTCAGCACCCGGTTCCCATCTCCTCATGCTGGGGCCTGTGCCCTTTCCCATGTCATTCTGCTCTGGCTCCTACCCCACTGGGGAAATTGAGGCAAACAGTAACCGTTGACACTGTCTTCTGGAGAGGTCTCCATCTGAGGTGGGGAGGCATTTAATGACCAAGTAGATTCACAAGTGAAATTACAATGGCAATCGATAGTTCATTCTGTGCAGGAAGAAATCAGGATGCTGTCAGGGAGATACTGGGGGCAGAGAGAGCCTGTTTTAATTTAGGATGAAGTGAGGCAAGTTCCCCAGAGGAAGTGACATTTCAGCCAACACCTAAAAGATGAGTGGGACCAGGCTAAATGAAAAATGAGGGGATGGCAGTCTTTCTGTCACATATGGTGGTTTCTCAAAGCTCTAGACCCCCTCCCCCATTAGGTGTGCAACTCACTCTCTTGGGGAGGCAAGAAGGGGCCAGTGGCATCTCTGGGTCCAGTGTGGATGGTACCAAGAGCTCTGTGCCCCTGCTTCTGGGCTTTTTGAGGGGTCTCTGTCAGTCCTAGTAGCAGGGGGTGTTTTTTCCCAATTTCTGTGACAGGGCCGCAAGGAAGAAAGATGGAAGGCAGAAAGGCTGAGCAAGTAGAGTTTATTGCTCCCAGGCAGCAGCTGAGATGGAGCTCCCAAGGGTGGGGTCCGCAGCTACTGCGAGTGCTGTAGGGGAAAGTGTCTCTTCTATAGGCTTTAGGTTCAGATTCTAGAAAGGTGAGGTGTCACTGTGCACCTGGATGCAAGGCCCAGTGCCGGTCATTGTGTTATCGCCCATCTCCGGTCACACAGGTAGCTGTTGTGTTACTGTCTCTATCTGGTCACACTCAACAGGGGGTTAGATTTTTGGCAGAAGTAGCAAGGGCATCCCAGGCCAAGAGATTAGTTCAACAAAGACCTGGGGAAGGGATTTGTACAGGAACAACAGATACCTAGGTGCCCTTGAATGTAGAGGATTAGACTTCCCACACTGTCATCCCAAAGTACCTCTCCTCCAGGCTAAATAAGCTTGTTTCTGTCAAGTTTGGTTTCCCCCAAACCATCATCAGTGCTGGTGATGTTCAGGAGCCCCTTGGGGCATATTAACAACATTGGTTCCTGAGTCTGAGCTCAGATTCTGGGTCCTCCTTTCTGTGATATGGTTGGTCCAAGTCACTGAATCTTTGCACTCCTGCGGCTCCTTGACAAAATGGGGACAATAATAAGGACATCCTCCTTACTCTGGAGATGGTATGACTGTGGGGAGCAGGGATTTGTCACTGTGAAGGGCCATGTATATGCCCTGCCCGCTGATTTAGGGACACAGGTGTTGCCCTGTGTTTTGCTGGCTGTGACTGGGCCACTCCTTGGGGACTCTGCTCCCCTCATCGCATCCATTTCTCAGTGTGTTGATTAACTCTTTGAGGGATCCCAAAGAGAATCTAAACCTGGGGGAAGCCCTTGGAAGCTCCCTGCTGTCATTTCTGTCTGAGACATGTGCAGAAAGCCTCGCTCTCTGGTCCCAAGGGTCTCCCGCACAGGGAATAGCAAGAACGAAATCCTGTGTGGTTAACCACTGAAAATAGGTTATGCCACAGATGCCTCCCTTTAGGGGAGCCTCAACTTGCCAAGGTCCTCCAGATCAGCCTCCCTGGGGAACTAACAACTTCTCGGTGTGCAAGAGGCTATGCACATTCCAACAGGGCTGAGGCTAGAGCTGTCCTCCACCTCAGCAGGAAAGGGACAGAGATGACAGCTAGGTGTCCAGGCCTGGGCCAGTAATAAGGGGTGGAGCAAGGATTAAAAGAACTTCTTGTCACCCAGGGGCTACCTAAGAGCCAGCAAGAGCTCCTGGAGGTGGGGCAATTGTGGGGAGGGGAGTGTTTGGGAGTGGACAGGGGGAATGACAAAGAGCCTGAAGCCTACAGGATCCACATGTGCACAGGCTTCACAGGCTTTAGACCTGATAGGCGAGGAGATTACCACAGGTTCAGGCTCCACACAGCAGGCGCAGCTTCAGGTACAGGCCCGTTCGGAGTTTGGACCAGGGTGTGGTTGTGGTCTCTGTTACACCTGTACTTCAGGATTAAGCCCATTGTGGGGAAGCAGAGGAAACATCCAGGGTGAAAATGTTGGAATGTATTTCTCATGCATCTTCAGAACATGCTGCTATTGTTAGTGTACTTGCAATATACAATATCATGAAAACCTATTGCCCAGTAAAAGCAGCTAACAACTCTGGTCACAGCGGCTCTCCTGGGGTAGGGTCTGGGGCACACACTGTGATGCATTTGAGAATAGGGAGGGCAGGAAGAGCCGTAGGCCAGGTCTATCCTTATTCTGGCATGGCTGTCACTCCACAGCCCAGCGTTTCCCCCAACTCCGACAGGGACCCACCCTAAGTTCCTCAAGAGAGGTTGCTTATTTTGATTTTTCTTTTCTTTCTTCTTCTTTTTTTTTTTTTGCTTACTTAGATTTTTAACATGAAACTCCTCATTTGTAAATACTGTCAAACAAATAAGACATTAAAAAAATACAACCTGCTCCTAACAGGTACCGCTAATGGTCTAGTTTTGCCCAGTGAGCACCCATTAGTGACTCTTGGCTGGAGGGGGGCAGAGGGTGATTCCAGCTTCTTCCCTAGAGAAGGTTTTTATGGAAATTACCATTTTTTCTGTTTCCCAAGGTGGTTCTGAAGGTGAGCTGTCCCTGTTTGTTGGAAATAAATGTATAAAAATAGAGTAGCAATTCCTCAAACCCCTGTCAGGTTTAAGTAGCAAGCCTCTCCTCTGGGAACTGCAAGGATTGCCCTGAATCATCTCCAGGCAGCCCAAGGGACATTCTTCTCTGCACAGCACTGCCTGTACAGATTCCATCCTGTCCGAGAGCTGCCCAAGGAGCGCCCGCTAAATACATGTGTGTACTTGTTTGCCTGTGTGGAAGAGGGGTGCACAGGACTGTGGGACTGGAGAGGGGCCATAGCAGACAGCAGGTGTAAAGCAGAGAGCTCCTGCTGAAACTCAGCCATGCTGGAATTACTCAGCCTTCCTGTCTGTGACATGGCAACAATAATGCACACCAGGGCGCTAGCTGTGAGGACCCCAGAGTAGGCTGCTTTGCCTGTAACTGAACTGCCATGATCTTTCAGAAGCCCTGATCTTCTAGGGTTTGTCATGTGCCACTTTTATATTGAGGGAGTTCCTGCCCTTGTGTAGAGGAAATGGCAGACAAGAGGCTTTGGGGAAGAGTAAGGACTGTTCTGGAAAGGCACTGACGGTTGTCCCAGAGCCCCTACAACCCTCAGCTTCAGGGGCTGCAGGGCCTGGACACCACCCTCTTGGGTGGTGATCTCACAGTGACCTGAGGTTGTAGGTCATTCCCAGAGCAGGCATCTCTGAGACCCACCCAAAGAATGCCAAGGAGAGCAGGACCCCAGTGAGTTATAACAGGTGCCCACATGTGGGACAGTAGCTCTCTGGCACTCGGCCAGCCCTACAGGAGCGTGTGGGTGTGCAAGAGTAGGAATGAGCAAAAAGATCTGGCTCTGCCCACACCCACTACTTCCCTGATCGCTAGGTGCCAGACCCGGACTCTGCAGTTGGTCCAGATACTGGTTTGCAAACATCTGGCTCTGAGTCAATGTGGGACACTACTGCTGTGCTCTCTGCCCAGCAGCTTGTTCTGTAAAATGGGGAGAAGAATGTGAGATTTCCCCTAGAGGATGGTCATGCTGGATATTGGCAGGTACCAAGTTGCTGCCGAGTGGGCTGCTTGCACATCCCTGGTGAGTTGCAGATCTGCTTCTGCAGATCGTGTCCTCTGTCCTTCCAGGGGCCTACCCCAGCAGCCTGGACCGCCTCAGCCGTACCCTGGGCGTCCTGGAGGAGCGCGTCAACAGCTCGAGGCGCAGGACACGCAGGCACACTGCCGAGGACGACTACAACATAGAGGTGCTGCTGGGCGTGGATGACTCCGTGGTGCAGTTCCATGGGAAGGAGCACGTGCAGAAGTACCTGCTCACGCTCATGAACATCGTAAGTGGCGGTGGGGGTGAGGGGTAGGGGCAGAGGGGCAGGGGCTCCGCTTTCTGGGCTTTCCTAGTGGAGGGATAAAGGGTTGTCGTTGGCTTGGGGGGGCGCTGCTCTTCAGCAGCTCCAGTGAACTTCCCTTTTCCCATTTGCACACTCGCCTTGGCAAGTTTCATTGTAAGCTAGTCTTTCACAAAGTTGTCATATGTGTGCCAGTTTTCTTGCTTTTTGCGAGACCTACAGTATACTTGGACTGTGTTCTTCCTGTAAGCCAACTGACTTTTTAAAAACTTAGAATTATTTACAAAGGAAACATCACTTTATGTAAAGGATCCCCAAAATAAAATGTAAAGCGATATTATTCAACTCTAGCTAGATGGCCGTGCCTTCTCTCAGATCAGCTTGGAACCGTGGCCCAATCTGTATTTAAAAAAAGGCGGGGGCAGGGGGAACTAGGCTGTATCAGGGAGAGGGGTATATACAATGGCACCCATCTGAAGGTGCTCCTTGAGGTGCTCCTAGGAATTGAAGATTGAAGACGGGGTCCATTTCCCTCTATAAGGTAGGGCTATATAATGTGGTGTCTGTGTGCCTAATTTTGGGTGAGCATCCAGGTTCTCTTTCCCTTGTCTGCCCAACCCTGAGAGATTAAGAGTAACCCCCACCCCATTCCAGGCCCATCCCCTGACCCCTGCAGAAGGTTAGAGGATATTGAGTACGTATTGGTCCAGAGATTTTATGGCCTCTGTCCTGTGCAGTGAAGACATCCTCCCATCCTTCTCCTCCCTCTGCCTGATCCAGTCAGTCACTAGTGGAATGTGGGACATCAGCTGAGAAAACGTGGGTTGTGTGGAAGGAAGACCTTAAGCTCAGCTAAGCCTTGCTAGGCTAGTAAGGTGGGAGGAAGCAGCCCATGGCCTGGGATCTCCAGGCTCTCTGGGTAGAGCATTTCATGTGTCGTGAGGCGAGTCCCTGGGAACCAAGTTGTCTTCTCCAATCTTTCTTCCCCTCTCCGCTCCCTCCCGCACCCCCCTCCCCGCAGAAAATCCAGGGCACTGGTGCAGAAATAGATAAGAGGGAATATTGATGGACAGAAAGGCCCTTGCCTACCTGCCATCTTCTTCTTGACCTTCCTTAAGTAAGTCATTTACCCTCTGAAACATAACCAGTTTCAGAGGCAAAGTAGGGCAGAATTCTGTTATATTTGCAAAGTATTTTATTTTAAAAAGTGTTAATGTCATCTTATTTTTGAAAAGTACTTTTAATATGATGACGATGATGAAATAACCTGATGACTACAGTTATTGACTGTTACATATATGACTATGTGCCAGGTCAGTAAATGACTGGCATTTATCATGCATTATCTTAGGAAATCTTTCTTAAATTTTTTTTATTGAAGTAACATTGCCAATATAACACTATATAGGTTTCAGGTATGTGTGCTTCAAGATCACTATCTGCTTATAATAGGTTATGTTCATCATTGAAAATCTAGTTTTTTCCTTCACCATAAAACTGACTCAGTTTGACTGAATTTATAGCACCTTTCTTGCCCCTTTCCTTCTGATACCACCACTCTGGTCTTAGAGTCTAAACTTTATTTTTGTTTTATTTAGCCCACTTGTTTGTTCTCTTTCTTTAAGTACCACATATGAATGAAATCATGTTTGTTTTCCTTTGCCTGAGTTTTTTCATTAAATATAAAACTTTCTAAATCCATCCATGTTGCTAGAAATGGCAAGATTGCATCCTTTTTGTGGCTGAGTAGTATTCCATTGTGGCGTGTCTGTGTCTGCCTAGCTAGCTAGCTACCATATATCAATGTCACAGCTTCTGTAGAAATCGTCACACTGCCTCTATGAGACTGGTAGATCTTATCTGCCTTCAAAACTTTCCCCCAAGTATTATACTGCCTTCTACCCACCAGTGGATGAAAGGAACATGCTTAGGGAGTTCTTGGTAAAGGAAGCTATTTGTTTCCTTTACTCATACAAACATTTCTGACAGTGAACTTGTGAATTTTGCATGCTGAGCACTTGTGACACTAACTTGCCGATGTTAGCACAGCCCTGCAGGGCAAAAGTTCAGTCCCCAGCCCTACTCCAGATGCCAGGTACAAGTCCTACCTAGGTTGTCATCTGTGCAACCTAATCAGCTTTAAGTCAAGGATTCCCACAATTTGTTCAGGTTTGACAATTTGCGATAATGGCTCCTAGAACTCAGGAAAACACTTTACTTCCTATTATGCATAATATTATTACAGTAGTTCTAAATCTATTTATTTTAAATATATAAAAAGCAAGGCTCAGAAGGCTTGCACAGAGCAAGGCATGGGGTGGTGCCCTCTCTGCATACTAACCTTCTGGTGTGTTGATATTTTTCCAACCTGGAAACTCTCCAAACTCCATTGCTTAGAGTTTTTATGGAGGCCTAGACATGGTTGATGAAATCATTGGCTATTCATAGCTGAACTTAATGTACAATTCCTCTCCCTTCCAGAAATTCAGGGCTGGGACTGGAGGATCCAGCTCTCTAGCCATATAAAGTTGGTTCCTCTGGCAACTTGAAGCTATGTAGGGACCCCTCAAGAGTTACATCATTATTATAATGTGTAAGTTATGTATAACTCAGGTGTCTTTGGATGGAGTTCATTATGAATAGCAGAATTTGCTCCTATCAGCCCCATCATTTCTGAGGGGGAGTTCTGTGTCACAAATGGGGCAGAGATCAGATGTATATTCATAATTACCCCACACCTGGCCTGTCTCCCCATTGCCAGGCCAGGTATGTCACTCAAAATGGTGTTTCTGACTCCCGACTTTGGTTTTTCTGTCTTTTTTTCTCTCTTTTTTTTTTATTAAAAAGTTTTTTTTTACATCATTTTGCACTTTTTTTTTCACCTCAATTGTAATCCCCACGGGTTTCCCATCACCAAATCACCCCTGTGCCACCACCATAATCCCGTGCATTTCCCTCCCCCCCCCCCCCCGTTTTTGATCCCATTCCCCACTCCACCCCCACAGAATGTCATGGTTTTTCTATCTTTAAAATGAGTTAATAACTTCTATTTGAGGGGTTGTCATAAAAGTTAGATAAGATAATGGAGGTAAATGTGATTTTCAGTGTCTTAATAGAGTGTTTCACTATTGAGAAGATAAATAATTTAGCAATAACATATCTAGAATTATTCTTGGGAAGTACCCCAGGGGCTCTGACTGAAGTTGGGGTGTTCCTGATGAATTGTTCCTAAAGCTGGTGAAATAAATCTGCCTTTCCTATGCCACACACATTTTGTATTACAGGAACTGGTAGGAGAAAGTCTAGAATTTTCTCTTGTTTTTTACCAGTTAAGTACAGTTTATTCATATACAGCCTTACATGCTAATTTTGAAAGGGGGACATTTTATTTATTGAAGAACATGAGAAATATAAATATTCTTTTTTTATTGTGGTAACATTGGTTATAACATACAAATTTCAGGTGTACAACATTATAACTTGATATCTTCATATGCCGTAGTTTGGTCACCCCCAAAAGTCTAGTTCCTGCACAGAATAACCATACAGATGATCCCCTTTACCCTTTCATCCCCAACTCCCTTTTCCTCTGTAACCAATTTGTTCTCTATTTCAAAGTGTGTTGTATTTATTTTTCATATGAGTGAAATTGTACCGTATTTGACTTTTCCCATCAGACTTATTACACTCTTAAGTTCCATTCATGTTGCAAATGACAGGATTTCATTCCTTGTAATGACTGAGTAGTATTCATTGCTCATACACAGAGTCCAGTAATGCTTAATTATACTTTTGGTCAACGACTAACCAAATATATATGAAACACACACACACACTCACACACACACAATATCTCATAGTGATATATGTCACTGAACCCAAAGGCTGTACCATACAGTGGAGGTGTGTTGTGGGCTATACCACCTAGAGTTGTATAATTACACTCTGATGGCTAATGAGGAATTTCTCAGAACTTATGCCTGTAAGTGACTTATGGCTATATATCATGTCTTATTTATCCATTTTTTGAGAATTCTCCTTGCTATTTTCCATAATGGCAGTGCCATTTACAGTCCCACAAACAGTGTATGAAGGTTCCCTTTCTCTACATTCTCTTCAACAGTTGTTTCTCATTGATTATTGGTATGAGGTGATGTTTCATAAAATATATTGAGCCAGATTTTATCATACCAAAATAGGACATAAGTTGTAGGGACTAAGAAAGCATAGTTGTATCACTTGCATCCTTCAAATATTTATTAAATAAGTTCTTGTCATAGGTTGGCTCTGCAGAGGGTTTGGCATCTTTGACAGTCCTGGGGCTCAGGAAGATGCAGCTGCAGGGGGAAGGGCCTGCACCTCCCACCTGAGCTCCTTTTCCCACCGTGAGGTCAGGGGACAGGAGTTTGGACTTGTGTTGCCCAGATGATTAATGCTCTATAAGGCACAGTACCCTCATTTGAGGCAAATGTACTACCTAGAGCTGACCTTAGGCACAGCCTTTTGTTATTATTAAGGAGGAGGGGAATTAAAGAAGCCAGAATACTTGAGAAAGGATAACTTTTTAGAGGAGCCCATCCAACAGAATTTTTTGCAGTTCTGGAAATGCTCTTATTGGCCCTTGAGCACTGGCTCGACTGAAGAATTATATTTTGAATTTGATTTTTTCCCAAACAGAACTTTTACATTTTAATTCATTTCTAACATTGTAGTTTAAAAACATATAACGAAATTGACCATTTTTAAGTGTACATACAGATTAGTGACATTAATACATTTGTTTGTAGCTCTCACCACCATGCAGCTCCGGAGCTCTTAGTTCGCGAAATATGGAAACTGTGCCCATTAAGCTCTAACTCCCTGTTCCTCTTCTCCCCAGCTGCAGGCAGTGCCATTCACATTTCTGTCTCTGAATTTTTATTACATTTGCAGAGTATTTTATTTCAGAAAGTGTTAATATCATCTTATTTTTGAAAAGTACCTTT